TGGTGTCAATAATAATAGTTCATGGAGTTTTGTCACCATCACTCGTAAATGGATCTAATGGATGGTTTAAACATAAGAATGTATATCGTTATACGTGGATCCAACCTTGATGTGCGTTGAACTAGATCATTGACTATGTGGCACTTAACCTTCAGCCGGGCGCGCCGCAGTAATTTGCTGCGTAAACTTAATATTTCCAGTATACGTGATATTTTTAAAATTCCCTTATCGGTTAATCCTTAGTCGGTACCCATCATCGTCTTGTGAAATCCAAATCCAATTAGTTAGTTATCGTACTTTATTGTGAATAGTACATGGAGGCAGACAATTGCTTCAAGGCGCCTGGTAGTGAAATTCGCGCAATTTTTTGAAATAGCTAATATATTATATATCTTTTTCGAGAAATTGAAATTTTATTGGTAAGTAAAATTGTTAATAATATAATTATTTATAAGAATTAATAATATATATCAAACATATTAGATTATTGTAGAATTCTATATTATATCATATTTTATAGTTTTAGATTACGGGATGTCTCGTAAAAATCCAAAGGAAGTGTTAACCCAAGCACAATTAGAGAAAATTCTAAATAATATGACATATATTGAAGATGAAATAGATGAAATATTGGAAAGTGATAGTGATTTGGATGAACAACAAATTGAGGAGAACCACGACGATACACGTTCAGAGCAAGATATGTCAGATGAGGAGAAAGTTTTTTACGAAAACGTTGAAGATACATTCATTTGCAAGGATAAAACAAGTAAGTGGTATAAAACTTTTTTTGCCACATCTAAGACAAAGCAACAAAATATAATGAGAGTATCACCGGGATTAAAAGGAACTGCACGTCAAATAAAAACAGAAATTGGTACATTTTTTACTATTATAAATATTGATATGGTTGATGAAATTCTAATTTTTACCAATCTATATATAAATGAACATAGAGATAAAACGCAATATTTGAGAGATAGAGATTGCAGTAATGTGGACAGGAGTTAGTTATTGGCCTTTTTTGGACTCCTCCCTTTGATTTACATAAAGCACGGCAATCACAAAAATGTGATGGAACTTTGAGAAAAAGATGGCACGGGGATCGATATTGTTCGAGCAGTAATGAGCTATAGTGTATTTTTATGTATGAGAGAGTAATAAAACAATAAATTATGTATGCAAATCCCTAAACTGTTGATACGGGTGACTCAATGAAAAACAGATATTTGTCAACAAGTTTACAGAAGTATATAAGAAAACAATTTTAAATTGAGTATGACCACCAGGTATAAAGGTTGGAGCAGAATAGAATACAATAGTTGTGAGGGTTACTAATCCCTAAATAAGGTTGCCAGTGTCGGAGTGATGGAGATTAACAGGTACTAATGAATTTGCAAGAAATGTAAGATGTTTATTTTATTGGTTATATATAACCAATAAAAGTTTAATAAGTACCTACCTATTTGCAAAATAAAGTTTAAAATAAAACGTTTTATTTTATCTGAAATGAGTGCATTCCACGAAGTAAGGGTTTCAACAATCAAACATTTAATTCTTTAATTCCAGGAATATACGACAGTAATTGACTAGATAATTACCTTTTAAACTTATTCCACAGAAAATGTGATAGTGGGTTTTTCCATTTTGTAGGAAGGTCCAAGTGGCGTTTTCAAAATTCTTAACAGTTCACCAAAAGTAAGTACTTCAGTTGCAAGGTGCAGTTTATTGTGTATACTAGTGTTATGGAAAATTTGGAAGTGCCGTGTAAACGCCGAAAAATTGGTCCTTTAACAGTTAATGAAAAACATTAATATTTAATTGTTTTAAATCATTTACAGACAAACGTTTATGTGACAGGGTTGATGAGACCGTTGAGTTAGTTAGCAGTACACTTGGTGTTGGGAAATCTACGATTTACAGAGATATTAAAGAAGAGAAATGTGGTAGTTTTCAAATGCCACGTAATGCTCCAGGGAAACCAAAATTTTAAAGAGAATATCATTTTAAAGAAGGAATTCGACGGAAGGTGCATGAATTCTTCTTTAGACAAGAATTTCCAACATTGGATAAAGTTCTTGTCTCAGTTCGAGATGATAAGGATTACCCAGAAATGAGTCGAAGAACGTTATGGAAACTTTTAAAAGAAATAGGCTTCCGCTGGAAAAAGAATCCCAGAAAGTCTATTTTATTACAAAGAAGCGATATTGTCATATGGAGAAGACATTTTCTAAGAACCATAAAGGAAATGAGAAACTAAAAAAGAAAAATATTTTATCTTGATGAAACATGGATCAACGAGGGTCATACACCAAATAAATTTTGGCAGGATGAAACTGTTACAAGTCAAAAGGCACGCTTTTGTAAATAACTTATCTACTGGTTTAAACCCACCATCAGGAAAGGGACGCAGGCTGATAATAGTACACATTGGCAGTTCAGACGGTTTTGTTGAAGGTGGTTTATTAACTTTTGAATTAACTCGTACCGGTGACTACCACGAAGACATGAACGCTGATGTCTTTCAAGAATGGTTCGAACAAATGATAGATCTTCTTCCTAAGAACTGTGTAATAGTAATGGATAATGCAAGTTATCACTCCAGACTTATAGAAGGACTGCCCACAACCTAGTGGTTAAAAAAAGACTTGCAGAATTGTCTGAGTTAAAAAAATATTACATACCATCCCGGATCTATAAGAAAGGAACTTTATTCGTTGTGTGCCCTTCATAAAGAAAAATTTTAAAAATACGAAATTGATGAAATTGCCAAAAATCGTGGAATGACAGTACTTAGATCCCCACCATATCATTGTGAATTAAACCCGATTGAACTGGTATGGGCACAGATAAAGAGTGTGAAGTTTCAAGAAAAAATACGAGTTTTAAAATTCATGATGTTAAACAGTTGTTTTTGGAGGCCATAAATAATGTAAAACCTGAAAACTGGGAAAAGGCAGTAAATCACACTATTAAAGAAGAGGAAAAAATGTGGAAGCTGGACAATATTACTGATAAAATGATCGAGCCAGTTATTATAAATCTTGGTTCTGAAAGTTCATCTTCTGAATCTGATTTGGATTTGTAACAAGTAGCTGTAAGTTTTATACTAATATTTTTATTCATCTATTTAACATAACTTAGACGGTTTTAAAAACTCTTTTTCTCTTTTGTAATTTTTAAAAATAAAAAAAAATGTGAATTTTTTAAAACCCTTTTTAATGTAGGCCAGTCAGTTCTAATATAGTGTGTGATATAAGAGGTCACTTTTGTTTACATACACATAACACTTTATAACACTGAAATAATTCATTTATTTTTTACAATTATTCAAAGTAATTTTTCAATTAATCTTGAGCACGCCCATGGAGTGGTCGAAGGTACCAGTTAAAATTATGCTAATTACTCTCTCGTTCATAAAAATAAACTGTACAAACGTTTCCTTTACGTTTTATTGCACGTTCATTGAGATTTGATGATAAACATACAAGGAGTGATAGATGTAAAACAGACAATCTGTCGACCATGAGATCGTTTTTTGAGAGATTTATAAAAAATTGTCAAAACACATACAATTTGTCAGAGTATACAACAATTGATGAAATGCTCCATCCCTTTAGAGGTAGATGTAGCTGGATACAATATATACTCAACAAACCTGCTAATTACGGGATAAAAATGTATGCGTTATTTGATGCTCAAACATTTTATACCGGCAATTTAGAGATATATTGCGGTAAACAGTCAAGTGGCCCATACGACGTATCAAATTCGGCCTTTGACGTTGTAAAACGTCTAATAGAGTCCGTAGAAATAACAGGAAGAAACATAACAACAGATAATTTTTATACTAGTATTCCGTTAGCTGGATATTAGCTACAAAAGAAAGTTACTCTGCTTGGGACGCTGAAGAAAAACAAAAGAGAAATTCCTCAAGATTTTCTTCCACATAAATCAAGGGCAGTTCAATCTAGCATATTTGGATTTCAAAAAGATTATATGATTACCTCTTACGTGCCGCGTAAAAGTAAGTCAGGTACATTATTGACGTCTATGCACAACGAAAGTACAGTTGACATGGATACTAAGAAACCACAATTAATTTTAGATTACAATAAAACAAAAGGACGAGTTGATACTGTAGATCAATTATGTTCATCATACAGTGTTTCACGAATTACTAAAAGATGGCCGTGTGTTATATTCGTTAATTTAATCAATATTGGAGGTATAAATGCTTTTGTTCTACATTCCGCTGCAAATTCTGAAAAATCACTCAAAAGGAGACATCTTCTCAAATACCTTGCAATGAACTTGATGAAAGAACACCTTCATACACGATCACAAATTAACACACTTCCACGTGATATAACCGAGTTCCTGTCCAGGATGTTTCCGAAGCAACCAGTACCCCATCAAGAAGACGAAAATCCTGCTAACCGTGGTAGATGCTGCAATTTTTACAGTGGAAAAATCAAGTCGTATACCTCTATGAAATGTACACAATGTAGTGCATTCACTTGTAAAAGACATTCTAAATCTAATATTGTATGTATTAATTGTAATGATCAAATAAATTAAAAAGTTTTTCTGTACAATTTATTATAATTAGTTAAATTAATAAAGAGTTCTTATTTTTTGACAAAATAAATAACGATACAGTTAATCAATAATTAAAAGTGTCGAAAACAATAAGAAACTACATGGCAGTAAATTTCTGCGGCGCGCTTGATGATGTAATTATTTAGGGCGCGCCTGGCCGAAGGATTAACAAAAAACGAAATTTAAAAAAGAGACTACTAGCTGAATGTAATGGTATAGTAATAAACAAAAAAATATCAATATTATAAGATTTGACGACAACATAGTAATTATGGCCAGTTCTGAGCTAGTGATAGTTAATAAATGAAAGGCTAATGAAAAAAGCTAACAGAAACAGTTATTTTGTCATAGTTTTGGTATTTTGGACACTATAAAATGGTAAGGAAGCATTTATTTACCTTTATTTTTTATTTCACTAGCTTCCCCATTAGTCATGATGTATAAAATGATACAAAAAACTTTGTCTAGATACGAAGTTTGAAAAATTGTTTAGAACATACAAAATTTAACAACTAATTAAGCATTTTTGTTAAAAGTTCAAGTTGATCCCAGGTGGACGTTTAACGATCGGTAATTTTAGACTTCCGACGAAAAACGAACGATTATATTTTTTTAAATTGTATTATTTGCCGTTATTATTTTCACATTATCCTTATCACAACTCATTATTGATAGTTATACAACAAACAATAACAAAAATGCACGTAAATGATTACCGACACTTAAAGTAAGTCAATTAAAAGGACCCTATACAGTTTTTGCAATAAAGGAATATAAATATTTAACAATTAATATTATTTATTTTTATCCGCTTTCTTTAAGGTCCACTTTTCGGATGCATGTGTGGCTATAGGAAAAATGAGTGCCCTTACCAGCCTTAGTTTTGTGTGTATTGTTATGCTATAATTTTTCCAAATTGTTATCAGTTTCATCATAACTGTTCTAGCAAATGTCAACCTTTTACGTATCTCTCTGTCTTTATTAGGAATCCCAGGTATATGAAACTATTTACAACTTCAAAGCCCCCAATTTCTTTAATATGTTGAAGATTATTCCGAGCTCTATCCACTATCATGATTAGACTTCGGCAAATATGCATATTGCATATTTTGCATATTGTGCATATTTTATGCAAATATTTCATATTTTGGCATATTTGTATAAAAGTTTGCATAAAGCGCATAAAAGTTCAGATTTTTATACTGTATTTGAAAATTTTTAAACATACCAATTTATTTCAATTCTTGTATAGAATTTTGTAGTCATTTTAATCAAGAAATGATCTAAGTACGTAATCTCTACAGGTACAAAACATTTACAATTTCAAAGAAGATCAATTTAAGTAGCCCTCAACATTCTTAGAAAGTCTCGGTCACCGAGGCATTCAGTTATTGGATAATCGCTAAGGGTTCGCTCATTTGCATTTTATGATCTAATCCCCAAATCTATCTACAATTTATTGTATCTTAACAGCAGGTAAACGGCTAATAGTTTTGTTCCTAATTTAGAGATTTTCCAAAATCTCCCAGTTTATTGAATTAGGTACCTAAACATTTCTAATTTGATGCTCAGATTTGTAAATCATTTTTGTTTTGATATTCAAAGCGTAAACACTCGTTGTGCGTAACAAAAAGGAAGATTGTGATTTTATAATGCCTAAAACAACCAGTGCTTCAACTTGGATTAAACCTTATAAAGAGCTGTCTATGGATATGGGAAAAATCTACTGTTCAGTCTGTGGCAAAATTGTAAGTATCTAATAGTTTCTATTAAATATCTAATATTTCATACATACAGGGTGTTTCCAAATGACACTTACAACGTTTGACTGTAGATACTTCTCGAAAAATTGAACAAAACGATGTAGTTAATGAGGGGTCAAACTTATTTACTTTTCGAGATACAGGGTGTTAAAATTAAAAAAAATTAAATTCTTTTAGTTAATAACAACAATAACTTTAAAACCAATAAACGTATTTACTTGAAATTTAGTACTCGTAGGTTGTTTTTAAATGAAAAATAGCTTCCTTTAGTGAGAAAAAATTGTCCATGGTACAATACAATGGTGTGTATTTAGAAAAATTTTTCACCTTTACTTTTTTTTATGAAGTCAGCTATTCTAAAACACAATTATTTTTATTGTAATTGAATTAACAAAAAAAAAAACTTTCCTTGAATTTTAAAACAAGTTATATGATGTACTAATGGTTAGTAACAAAAACTAATTTGTGGATTAATACTGCATTTAAAACACTTAGTGAGTGTTTTTTTTTTCCAAACCAGTTATTTGATTAACCAAAAACACCTTGTATATTTTTATATTTTAAAGGTTGGGTTAAAATAAAGGTTTTTATGTTTATTTATAGATAGCATGTGAGAAGAAATTTCAGATAGACCAACATGTGAGAACTGCTTCACACATTGCAAAAAAAGGAAAAATAGGAGGAAAACATCAAACTTCAATGGCTAAATGTTTCCAATCTACTTCAAAAAAATTAGATGAGCAAGAAACTTTTAATGAAGACTTGTGTCGCGCATTAGTGTCTGCAAACATACCGCTTTCAAAATTAGCAAATGTAAATTTTAGTTCGTTTCTAAAAAAATATTGCAAACTTAATGTTCCAATTGATCGGTCTCTAAGAAGAAATAATGTGAACGGGCTATACTCGTCGGTGTTAATTAATATTAAGGAAGAAATTGCAGATAATTATTTTTACATATCTGTAGACGAAACCACTGATTCCTCAGGAAAGTATATTGCTCATTTATTGATTGGTGTTCTTAAAGAAGATACCTTACCAAAATCTCATCTTATTTCATGCCAGCAACTTGAGAAAACAAATGCTTTAACAATTTCGCGTTTTATACAAGAAACATTAGCAACTTTTATTCTTCCGACAACTATTCCTTCTAATAAATTACTGCTTATTTTATCGGATGCTGCTCCTTATATGGTTAAAGCAGGACAAAATTTAAAAATATTTTTCCCAGATTTAATACATGTTACTTGTGTAGCGCATGGATTAAACAGAGTTGCAGAGGAAATACGAAAAAAGTTTCCTCTTGTAGATACCATGATATTCAGTGTCAAAAAAGTAATTCTTAAATCTCCTATAAGAATTCAACTTTATAAAGAAATGCTACCCAACATTCCTCTTCCACCACAACCTATTTTAACGCGATGGGGAACATGGTTAGAAGCAGCTAATTTTTATGCAGATCATTTTGTTAAAATAAAGAACATAATTGATACGTTAACAGATGAAAGTTCCCAATCTCTTTTGGATTCTAAACAAACTTTTCAGAATAACTTGCTTCAACAAGAACTTTCATTTATAAAATCAAATTTTAGTTTTGTTCAAAAAACAATTACTCAGTTAGAATCACCAAAACTGTCATTGTTCGAAAGTACAGCATTAATAAAAGAATTTGCGTCATGTTGTCGGAACGTTAGAGGTAATATTGGAAAAGATATTTTAAAAAAATTTGAAGCTACTATGGAAAAAAATAAAGGTTACCATATTCTTTCTGAAGTAGTCAGTGTTCTAGCTGGAAATATTTCGGAAACAATTAATTTAGAACCAAATGTTTTGGTTAGTTTGAAAAATGCTCCCGTTACATCAGTTGATGTTGAACGAAGTTTTTCCATATATAAATATATGTACTCAGACAGAAGCCACAAGTTTTTGTTAGAAAATTTTGAACACCACTTGGTCATTTATTGTTACCATAATTCTAAATAAGTTTACTCATACTTAAAAATGATGTAAATGTAAATCTTAATGAATAGTAGGAAATATTTAGTTATGTACACTTTTTTTTTTAAATAAAATTGTTACTATTTTACGATTTTTTTATTTATTTGTATGCATATTTTGTAAAATATTTGCATATTTTCGGGTAAACACGTGCATATTTATGCGCATATTTTCTACATTTTTATTTGCATATTTGCCGAAGTCTAGTCATCAGCATATCTCAAGTTACTGATTTTTTCTACAGTTATTCCACCCTTTCATCCATCTAGTACCTTTCGCATAATGTGTTCGCTATAGATATTAAACGGACTTGGCGAGATTATGCATCCCTGCCTGACACCTGCCTCTGTTCTGAAATGATCGGAATGGGTGCTGTTTATTTTTACTGTGCACTTATTATTTTCATATAGATTTCTAATTAGTTGAATTAAGTGGTGGGGGATGAAGGATAAGAGATGGAACCATGAAATACAGCAATGGAGACCATGGTTAGGAAAGAGAAGCAGAGGAAGTCCACAAATGAGATGGGCGAATGATTTAAAAAAGATCGGAGGACACAACTCAAAGCAAGTGGCACAAAATAGAAGACACTGGATTGATTTGGGGGAAGCCTATGTCCAACGTTGGATTACTTAAGGCTAAAGAAGAAAAAGAAGTGGTGAGTTGTTCCCATTTCCGCTAGTATGGACCATAGCTGCTGCCATTTGACTTTATCGAAGGTCTTTGTGTAATCCACAAAGCACATAAGCATAGGAGTATTGTATTCACGAGTTTTTTCGATTAGCTGTCTGACATTAAGGATGTGCCTTTTCCTGGGACAAATCCTGCTTGTTCTTCTGATATTTGAAGCAATAGAAAAGCTTTTAGTCTTTCATATATTATATGAAGTAGAACCTTGCTTGCATGGGATATTAGGGTTACCGTTCTGTAGGTGCTGCAATCTAGTTGAGTTCCTTTTTTAAATATAGAGATGAAAGTGAATGTTGTCCAGTCGTTGGGCCACTCTCCGGTTTCCCAAATCTTTTTGTAGATCATATGTATAGCATTAACTGCAACATCTCTTTTAAAACTTTTGCGATGATCTGATCTGCGCCAGGAAATTTTCTATTTTTTAACTTTTTGGTCGCTTTTTCTACCTCTGACTTTAGAAAGTTTGGTTCAATCTCTGCAGTGAACTCGTCGTAATTTGCATTTTGGGGATCATCTGTATATAGATTTTGATAATATTTTTTCCATACCTCCGCAATCCCTTGCTCGTCATTTATAATAGTGTTGGTTTTGATCCATGGATGTTTGTTTCCCTGGATAGATATCGGACTTTGTTGTATAGCCCATGGGATTCATACCAGTTTGCATGTCTCTCTACCTTTTCACAATCTTCATTCATATGTTGGTTTTTATTATCCCTACACGCTCCTTTAATTTCTCTATTTAACCTTGTTAATTCGTTTTGGTTGCTGTCGTTTTGATATATGATAGATTTGATTCTCCTTCGCTCTTCGAGAAGTTTCAGCGTTCTGTCTGTGATTAAGTGTTTTCTTTTGATGATCTTTTTTCGGTTCTGGTTCTTTCTACAGAGGTTTCTATGGCATTTCTGAAACCTTCCACATTTCTTCTAAGTTGTCTTGTGTGTTCAACATACTAGTTTCCATTAATGCATCTCTAAATGTTTTCGGATTTGAAATCTTCAGCCTGTTTTGATTTTGTTGCGGCATTATTCTTTTTAGCT